TCTTCCGAGGCCCACTGCCGGTTCCTTTTGGCTTCTGTCCTTGACTCTCTTCCAGCCGCGGTCCCCAGGAGGGTGACAATTTCTGATGGGCCCTGGTGCCTAAGGCAGCGCAGCTGACCCCACAGGCCTGGTTCCCGGCTGCGCCCCGCTCCCAGGGACCCCGCGACCTCTGTGGACCTTGCTTTGATCCACCGCACAGCCAGTTGCAGTAGACTTCTTTGGAAACTTTGTGCATTTTCTGCGCAGTGCATTCCTGGATGGCAGAGCTTTTCTGCTGTGACACTTCCAGCACCCCCAGCCTGCTCTAGGAAATCTGCTGTGGGCAGGGCGGCGGTCTGCAGGGTTCACTGTGCCGCTGCCCGCACACGCAGATTAGGGGAAGGAGGAAGCTGCGTGTTGCAGGTAAAGCGGTCGCAAGAATCAAGACATGCAGGTTCTGTCCTGAACTCGCCTGGCCTGCCAGCCCTCTGCAGTGAATGCTGCCGCACTCATGAAGAGCTGGGGATACCTCATCCACTGTCTCTGAGCCCATCACACCTTCGTTCCCTTTTATTACCCATATAATCCAGGATAGGGCCTGGCCAGGCCTTGGACTATGAACCTGGTTCTCTTCGTACTAAGCCCCAGGGAGCCCTCTGACCACACAGTAGGTCTTGAATGTTGATAAATACTACTTGAAAATAAAAATTAAAAAACAGATGAAAATTCTGAGTTAAATCCAAATAGGTTTCTTTACTACAGAAAATTTCACAGTTCTTAATGTACTAATAATGCATTGCCAACTCTAGCGGAGAGCATTAATATATGTGTGTACTGCTTCTCAAATTTATTTTGCCAGGAAACATTTTTTTTTTTCAAAACAACATCTCAAAAGCTTAGTGGCGTGTAGGAATCCTTGAGAAAATACCAGAACACACCGATTTGCCTCATGTGCCATTTTATACTTTCCACAAACACTTAATGACTGCCCCACGTTCCATCATGAGATTAAAACAAAATTTATGTTTTCTATCCATGACAGACATTAAGATTGTTTTTAACTTTTCAGCATAACCAACGATTCTGCAGTGAATTCTTGTGACCGTGACCATCTCTGCCCATTCCCTGAAGAGGTGAAATTGTTGGCTCAAAGTCTGTGAACACCTCCAGGGCCCTGCAAATGCATTGTCTGGCGGCTCCTTCCACACAGCCCCTTCTCATCTGTCTTCTGCTCCCACAGGAGGAGAGCCTGGGGTAGCGGCCCCCTCAGGGCCCGTGAGTTACAGGCTTGGTTCTTGGAGTGGTTAGCACCGCCCAGAGGGGAGGTGGGAGAGCCTTCAGGAGGTGGGGCGGGGCAGGCCTGAATTATTGCTGGAGACATGGCCCTGATGGGCTCTGTGGGACCTGGCCCCCTCTCTCTCCTTCCTCTTGTGCCCTGGCCTGTGGCGAGGGAAACGGTTTTGTTTGGTTGCACGTTTCCATTGTGATGTGCTGAGCAACAGGCCCAACTGATCATGCACTGACCAGAGGCTGCCTGCACCAAAAGATTGCTGCCTGGCCTTTTTAAAAGCTGGTTGTTAAGCTGGGGAGATAGCTTCGAGGTCTAAGTGCCTGCCCAGCCAGGGCAAGGGCTCGGGTTCGATCCCCAGTACTACCTGCCATGCCAGCCACAGAAACTGGGCGTGGTGGCACACGCCTGTAATCCCAGCGTTGGGGAGGCTGAGACAGGAGGATCACTATGAGTCTTAGCTGCGTAGCAAGACCCTGTGTTAAATAAATAAATAAATAAATAAATAAATAGACTTTTAAAAATAATAAAATAAAAGCTAATTGCCTCAGGTGCTTTATTATAGTACAGAAAATGGAGTAACACCTTCCACCTGTGCAGGCTGAGAAATTCAAGGGGCTCAAAGAGCTATTCCTGCTGCTTTCCATGTAAGTTAAAAGACAGTCACGTGCGAGATGGACACGATCAACCGGTTCTCCTTTCATAATTTCCTGTGCTGCCGCGAAACCACTCAGCGACACCTGAAGGTTATTTGACTGTTGGGATTTGGAGTCTAGATACTTTGTCAGGGAGCTAGAGAAGAAAGGATTTTAAATTGGCATCTGTTGTACCTAATGCCAAATAAGTTTTCAAGGTGAGCTTTAAAATAAAGCACAGAATTGCACACTCAAAGTGATTTGTCTCTTTGTCCTCCACGAATATTACCTTTAGTTAATGCATTGTTGGGTTTTAGAAATGAGATGTGAACCTTTAACTCATTAAAAGCCCCAAGACTCCAGCAATAAAGTCTTTAAGTGGCTTCACAACAGATTTATTTCAGAGCGATTCCATTTGGAGGAAGGAAGGAAGGAGGCATGCATCATACACCAAGATCTTTTCAATAATTCATGAGGCCTGCACATGCTCTACCTCAGAGAAGGTTCCTGTTGTCAGAGCCCAAAGGGACCCTGTCTCAGACCATGGCCACAGTTTGCTTCTCTTGTGCTTGACTTCTACCAAAGTTTGTTCTGACTCTTCTTCTTAGGTGCAGACTATTTTGAAAATTAAAAGTGGGTGTTTTATATAAGCAGGCTAAAGGACACTGTTTGCATTCCCTGACCTTAGCAAAGCAGGCCTGCTGCAGAGGTGCACTGCTCTTTCCTCCCTGTGGGCAGAATTCCAGTTATTTGGTGTGAGAAGTGGATTAGTACAGGGTGGGCTGAGCTAGGTACACTATGACAGTTAAGTTGGATGGGCAACCTGATTGGCTTGGGATCCACCCAGGGTCTTAGTGAAAGCATACTTCTGAGTACCCCTGGTGGATCACACTTGGGTCTCTGTCTGGCCCCTGCCCCTTTCTCTGGTGCTGCACCCCTGCTGTGCTTCCCAGCTGCCGCAGCTGAGTAGCTGTTCCACTCCACCCTTCTGCCATGGTGCTCCTATGGAGCCAACTGACCATGGACGGGACCCCTTGAAACCCTGAGTCAAATTGAGCCTCTGTTTTAAGTTGTGGGTGTTAGGTATCGTATCATACCTCAGCAGAAGAGTGCTGAGTAATACTCCTGGATTTATAGAAGTGTGATACTCTGACAAGTGTGGGGTAGCAGGCAGCCACAGAACGGGGAAGGCACACGGGGCAGGCACTAGCCATCCCTTCTCTGAAGTGATGGGACTGTGCACCTTCAGCCCTGCACAGCCGAGCTGCGAACTCCCTGGCTCGTCCTGAGCTTTGCCCTGCCCTTTCCATTTCCTGAAGACCATGGAAGCACCAGGGTGCTTGCTTTTCTGGGTAGAGAGTGTAGAGTGAGTGGAAGGGGCAAGGTGACCCGCCTCCTTTCTACCCCTCCGTGAGTGCTGCCAGCGCTGCTGTACACTGCCCAGATATGGCTGTTCCTCTTGGGAGGACCTTATTCTGTGAGAAGTGTCATGTGGGGCGAGAATGGGTCATGGTTTGGGTTTTTGGCCAAAAAGCTACAGGATCCATCCAGCCTTTCTTCCCTGCTACCCACCCCATGCACTCCAGGAAAAATGGTTGCTCCTTTGTTTTAACTTAAATGCCATTTTTACTTAGAATTACTATAGAGATTCACACTAGAGTCTTACAAGGAAAACTGTAAAAAATATTAGCAGTCCCATGAACACTTTGAGAAACATCATGGTTTGGGTGTGCAGAGATAGGGTCTCACATACACTTTGCTCTAAATTATAAGGGCTTCTTTGAGGGTAGTTTTTCACTGAATAGTCTATGAGAGTTGCCTTTCCCTTATAAACAAAGATTTGCACCATCATTTTAATGGATTGAGAATATACTGTGTGCATCTTTGCTAGCTCCAGCTGCTGTAACAAAATACTATAGACTGACTAGCTTAAACAACAGACATTTAATTTGTGTGGGATTGTGAATCCAAGGTCAAAGTGCAAGCAGTGTTGATGGCTGGTCAGGGCTTCTCTCTGGTTGGTAGACAATTGCCTTCCTTCTTGTACCTTCACCAAGGAGAGAGAGACAGACAGAGAAAGGGAGAGAGGGGCAGGGACAGGGACAGGGAGAGAGAATGCCAATTGTTTCCTCTGGGGACTAGAGACTCTTGAGAGTCTTCAACTGCAGCCAACCCTGATTCCTTCCAAAAACCTCCACCTCCAACGCCGCCACACAGGAACACTGGGCTTCGGCATAGGAGCTTTGGCGGCCATGAACATTCCGTCCTTAGCATCTGATAAATCGAGATTGTCTTTCTTTCCATTCTTTTTACACTATTTGAATACATTTTGCTATGTATATTGGTAATTGCTATCTCCTCCTGTGTGACATCCTACGTGTGTGTGTGTGTGTGTGTGTGTGTGTGTGTGTGTGTATTCATCTCCCGATTGACCATTTTTCCCCTATTGGCTTGCAAAACCCATCCAAGAAATTTTTGAATTAAACAAAAAGACAATTAAGGCTACTTTCTTCTCCGGAATATACTTAAGCTGTTCTGAGAATATTTGTCTGGTTTGGGCTTGGGAACCCTAGTAGCCTGTGACATTGTTTTGTTAGCACTTTGGAACACAGCACGCCTGGCATTTCGCCCCTGGCGGCCTTAGGTACATGGGAAAGCACCCCACTAGGTCCCTGGGCTGGCCGTGTCCAGCCCCCCGCGTGGCACACAAGTGTCTTGTGATCTTTGCCAGCATTCTAGCTGCCTTGCTTGGAGCAGAGCTTTTCTTGCTGCTGTGTAAGTCTAACGAGATTGCACTGGGGCAGTTGTTAGCTGTGTCAGTGATGAGCAGGTGAGCAGAAAATTCACGGGATGACAACCTTTAATATAAAATGGGATTCTTGGCTTTATCCTGGTAGGTTTCATGGTCTATGAACCCAGTGCACACACACTCAAGTGCACGTTTGTGTGTGCGTACGTAGGGGAGAGGGCTTGTTACTTAATGCAAGCCCTGGAAAGATCCTCGGATGATTTATAGATCTTACTGGGATGTTGCAAGGCCTATTGCCTAAAAGCTGCTTGTTCACTCTTGCCTGGAACTGTTCTTTGTTTTTGAACAGTTTCACTCGCTGGCTCCCATGTACTATCGCGGGTCCGCGGCAGCCGTGATCGTCTACGACATCACCAAGCAGGTAAGATGCGCTGTGCAGAGTGTAGGTGCCGGTCAGCGGCTCCTTTGCTCTTCGGAGACCAAACACAGATGACACCGCTTGGGTCTTGCCAGGGGCCTGGGCTGAGCCGCCGAGGAAGGGCTGGGGCAGCGGACACCGCCTGGCCGAGCTTCGCCCACAGGCCACGAAGCATCTCACATTTTCCTGCTGAATTAAAAACAGCGCACATTCACTTTTAAAACGGCCCGCTCACTTGCAGGGCTAGGGCGCCTGCTAGGGCTGTGCTTTCAAGTTTTCCGTGGCTTTTTCTCTTCTTAGTGTTACAGTACAATTATCAACACCCAACGATTATGTAAACTCACGGGGCGCACGATGCTGTTCCCGTGCGTGCCTACGCCGTGCACCCTGCTGCTTCCTGCGCCCCTTCCCAGGACCCTGCCCAGGCCCCAGAAGCCCCTCTCGCTCCCTTCCTGTCTCCCTGCTCCTTGCCCTTCCTGTTGCATTCCTCCCTCCTCCCTTCTTACGGAGTACTTACTTCCTGGTGGTGGCACAGTCGTCCTAGTAAAACACCAAGAATAATTATGCATGTGTAGGTGCGTATGTCATGTCTGTACACATACACAGCAGTTTCTCTTTCCACGGTTTCACTTAGCCGGGTCAGTGGCCAGATGCAAAAATAAATGGAAAATTCTAAAAGGAAATAATTCATGAGTTTTAAATAACTTGTAACAGTATATTGTTATGCAATACTTATCCTATTTTATTATTATCGTTAACCTCCGACTGTACCTAATTTCTAAATTCAGTTTTATCCTAGACAAGCAGAAACAGGATTTGGGGCTATTCATAGTTGCAGGCTGCCACTGGATTTTAGTTTATCCTGCTAGAGCTAAGAATATTTATCAATAAAGGACTGCAGTTGTTTGATGGCATTTTTTGCACTCCTGCAAATTGCATTATTTACTGTTTTCTCTGGAGTGCGAGCGAGTGCTTGTGATCTTTAGCTTCATGACCTGACAGCACCACCTTCCCTGCATTCTTGACACTCCGCATGAATGTAGCTTTTATGCTGGCCTGACCCAAGAGGGTTTTGTGAGGAAAAAGTCAAAAGGAAAATAGGAATCTCCACAGAGGCACTTCCTTCCTGACGAGGATGTGGACATTGATTTAGTCCCCTTGCGCTCATGCATGCGCACTCAAGGCCATATTTGTAAATTACTCTCATGGAAGTAAATCACCAATAGGTTCTTCTTCTTCAAGTTTCAATCTGGGGAAAAGGAAGCTTCTGCAGCCCACTGAGGTATGGCTTATGTACTAAGTGTGTGAGTCTCCTGAAATTATTTTTGTCCACTAAATTATATTGGTTTTGTATTTCTGCTTGGCGGGAATAACATGTTGACAGTCTTTTCAATGATTCTCATTTACGTTTTGCACTTAGGATTCATTTCATACCCTAAAGAAATGGGTCAAAGAACTGAAAGAACATGGCCCTGAGAACATCGTGATGGCCATTGCTGGGAACAAGTGTGATCTCTCTGATATTAGGTAAGGGACATTGAACTCGTGTGTGTGTGTGTGTGTGTGTGTGTGTGTGTGTGTGTGTACATACATATCCTTCATCTCTGAGCACCCGGGAGTGAATGAGGTATTGTGCCTTTGCTGTTGTTTGTGCATTCAGTGTAAGGCCCCACTCGATGGCAGCCGCCATGGCGGCTGCTGTGGTGCCGTTCCACCGCAGGGAATGGAGGCGACTGGTACAAATTTGTTGGCCCCCGTGGTGATGAGTAGTCTCTGTACCTCGCACGGTGCATCCCTGACTGAAGATATCTTTGGATTATCTTGTTTTGTTAGTTTTGTTGCCACTTTCCACCACTCTCATTGCTACTGATACAATTTTTGTAACACTTTCGTGTAGTAAAGGACCATAGAATTCTTAATATTTTTTCCATAGCATCCCTGTTTGTTTTAGTTCTAGATTTTAGCCTAAGGATATATTCTAATCTACATAATATCGTTATTTTAAGACCTAAATATGACATGTTTTATACAAGCACTTTTAAGTGACAAAATGTCAGTGATGTGGATTGATTGTGAGCCTCTTTACCAGATGTCTTAGTCTGTTTTCTGTCACTGTATCAGAATATCTGAGTCTGACTGTTGTTTTTGTTTTTTTTTTCTTTTTCAAATTTTATTTTATTGAGAAACAAATAGCAATGAGATAATTTCAAAACTCATTAATAGGACATTTTTCAATAATTAATACATTTTACATTGCTGTCTTCTTAGTGATCATCCATAGTAAAAGATGCAGACAGGATATCCTGTCCAAGCACTATTACTACAAATCCTTCTTCTCACTGATTTAAGTGAAAGTAGGTGTATATCTTTTCTTTCCCATAATTTTATTGACAAACAAATAGCAATGAGACAGTTTCAAACCAAATTGGTAGGACAGTTTCAATAATTAACACATTGCATACATTATTCCTAGTGGTTATTTGCTGTACAAGATGCAGACATGATACCCTATTTACAAACACCATTAGAACAAATCCCTCTATTCATTAAGAGAATGTAACTATATATCTATCCTAGCCACTTTGAATACAAAATGGACATTCATCTGTACCCCTTTTTTTGTTTAGTTCCATCATTTGAATATTATAGGTGTGTTAACTGGGCAAAATATTCTAAAAGAGTCCGGTAGTCCATAATAGTATTGGGTCTTCTGCTTCACTGGCAATGTCAGAAATTGTT